TGACAGCTCATAATTCATAAAGTTACCACAGCCTAATCTGATAGTACATCATGTACAAAACTCCTCCCTATCATACAGACAATATCACTTCCTTTTAACACGAGATACTGTGCTGCATATTAAATTGGTAGCCTACATACTTTGGAGCACTCATTATAATAATTAAAAGATAATAAAAGGGCCATAATACTGTACTATTACAGAAAGCTGACTCAAAATCAGGAACTCGCTATTGGAAGATGCATATCCCCACTGTGTTTTGTTAGAAGCCAAATTTTCTTTCATCCCCCAAATCTGTTTTACATTATATTATATTGATTCTGATTTAAAATGTTTGCTAACTCAAGCAGCCACTTCACAGAGTCTGATGATTGGCTCTGAAAAAGGAGGGAATTTTGAAACAAAACTATATTAATACATGTACTTGCAGGTAATGGAATATCCTTTATAAAATAGAGTCAATCCAAAAAATAAAGTATCCCTCAAATCAAGACTGAGTTCAGGTTTTATTGGTAACAGGATGTTTTGTATTAATCCTCTCATCCCTCTTAATTGAGCATATTAGGTACAATTATAGAGGAAGTTAAGGGACACAGTGGCTAAGACGCTGAGTTTGTCAATCAGAAAGATCAGCAGTTCGGCGGTTCGAATCCCTAGCACTGCATAACGGAATGAACTCCCGTTACTTGTCCCAACTTCTGCCAACCTAGCAGTTCATAAGCAAGTAAAAAATGCAAGTAGAAAAATAGGGACCACCTTTGGTGGGAAGATAACAGCGTTCTGTGCGCCTTTGGTGTTTAGTCATGCTGGCCACAAGACCACGGATACATCTTCAGACAACACTGGCTCTTCGGCTTTGAAACAGATGAGCACCGCCCCCTAGAGTCAGGAACGACTAGCACATATGTACAAGGGGAACCTTTACCTTTATGCAGAAAGTTACATTACTGAATCCCTGTTGAATCATTGAGTACAAATCTCATTATCTAGGTTCTTGAGAAGCTTTAATTTCCTTCTGAAACACAATCTGCTCTTTCTCCTTGGTCATTGTCATTTTCCAGATTAGATAAACCTGCTCATCTTTTCAGTTGTCTATTTAGTTCACTGGGTCTCAAACTTCCTAATGCTGCGACCCTTTAATACAGTTCCTCATGTTGTGGTGACCCCCAACCATAAAATTACTTTATGTTTTTCATATTTTTTTGAAAATATGTGTTTTCCGATGGTCTTAGGCGACCCCTGTGAAAGGGTCATTCTACCCCCAAAGGGGTCCCGAACCACAGGTTGAGAACCACTGATTTAATTGAAAGTGGCTGGGTATGGAAGTCTGATTTGTGTTTGTACAGCATGAACCTTGACTATAAAATTCACATGTCTGAGTCATGTTTATCTATATGACAACAATCTGTTGAGTAGATACATCATAATTCCTTTCCTAAGAGTTCTCCTCCAATACAAGTCTCTAAACATAAAAGAATAATTCGGCTTTAGAGGTAAATCATAATATTTGTCTCCTGTATATCTTGTACTAAATGAATCTCTTTTTTCCATGCTTTGTCCAATTACATTGTAGAAGGCAGATATAAATTTTGTTATATCCACTTTCATGCTTCCTCAAGCAGTAATGAAAAGTTTGAGAAGTTGCAGAGCCAATTTTCTAGCTTTAATTTTCCATGCACCTTTGCCAGGTAATAACTCTGAAGATCTCTTTTTACTGAGAACTCCTCCAAAATGTGCAGCTGTGTGCTGGTTTCATCTTGCAGTTTGTAACTATGTTGGCAGTGTTTAAATACAAGGTATGTTGTCAGCTCACACGTTGTCGTTGCTAAATGCTGTTCAGGCCTGTCTCCATCAGTGAAAGGGGAGAGCTTGTAGATTGGAGGAATCCCAATCTCTTTTTAATTTGATTGGTTATTACAGAGACAAGATAAAAATAGAACTAGCATTTCTGCCTTATCGTTAAACCTGGGGTAAATGTTTAATGACCAGTGAAGAAGGCTCAGTGGGACACTTTCAGTGGCGTGTACATTTTGGAGACAATATGACTTAAAATAAAACAGAAGAGTGTGATTTTTTCATGTGGGAAAACTAAGATGATTACTTTAAGTGAAAAATTGATCCTGGATTGTAGCAAAGAAATCTGTAAAGTTGTTCAGATTCTTAAGAGTGGACTTGGGTCTCCAAATCGCTGGGCAGTTTTACAACGCACTTCAAAACAGAAGATAGTTTTAAAGTCAGGTACTGGTTGATGACTACTTGTTACGTTTTGTTTTTGTTTTATTTTGTGCATGATCATTACAAATTGCATGTTGGCATTAATAGAGTATCTAATAAAGTCTTACTTGTAGGCTAATTTAATTAGTTAGTTAGTTATATTCTTAATGTATTTCTTTTTATAGTTTGGTTTATAGCTCCACAATTTAATGACCAGAATGGAGCCTATCCATTAAAGTCATAAGTCATGATGGGCATAAAATAGATCCCCCCTCTCCCCGGTGATTGATCAATTTTTTTGACCTTTTTTGCAGTAATTGTTAAGGAATCCATTGTTCACTATGGGCTAATTTTGCTGGAAATGGGGAAATAAATGCTGTTTTTCAGCAAAAATTTAATAAAACATGATCACATGGCAGGCAGCTTAAATGTGGGCCAGTTGCCAAGCGCCCAAAATGCAGTCACATACCCTGGAGATGACCATTGGAACTTCAGAATCTGGTCTTAAGTACCCATGGAGAGGTTGCATTACTTTGGCCATTACCTGTAGTTCTTGGTTTAGCTTAATTCTCATTATATTTTGATACATGTAAAATTTTCTGCTCTATCCATACTCAAAGCTTTTTTTGACATGGTTAGGTGGATTATTAAACTTGATTCCAATCTTCATATGTTTGCAGCATCAATTTAAAAAGTAAAAGCATCCAAACTAAATCTGGCCTTTTTTTGTAAATCATGTAAAATGGTATTTTGTTCTAAGAATATTATGGGATGCTTAATTTGGAATGTAAATCTTTCCTGGTTTTTTTTTTCTTAACCTAAATGAGCACAAAAGGTTTGATTTCACCACCACCACCAAAGGTGGCAAGTTAATGTTGAAAGTCCCAATTGTAGTGTACAAGTAGTCCTTCCTTGAACTCAACATTTCTGTTGCTAAGCAAGACAGTTGTTAAGTGAGTTTTGCCCCATTTTATGACCTTTTCGCCACAGTTGTTAAGCAAATCACTACAGTTGGTAATTGAATCATGCAGTCGTTAAATCTGGCTTCCGTCATTGATTTTGCTTCTTGGAAGCTAGCTGAAGGTTACAAACCATATGACTGTGCGGGACAGCGCAACCGTCATAAATACATGCCAGTTGCCAAGTGCCTGAATTTTGATCATGTGACTGTGAAGCTGCTGCATTTGTCATAAGTGTGGAAAAGCAGTCATCAGTCACTTTTTTCAGTGCCATTGAATGGTCACTAAATGAATGGATGTAAGTCGAGGTCTACTTGTAATGGTATAGGAAGTTTATACAAAAGCTTTTCAAATAGAAGAGGTTCCTTTAAAAAAATTAAAGTTTCTTAAAATGCCCCTTTTTGGTAAGGTAATAATTTGTTCATCCTGGTTTAATTATCTGTTTAATTACTATGATTAGAATCTATAGATTCTGTAAAAAAAATGAGTTCCTTTTGGGTCTCAAATTCTCTGAAATGGAAAAGTGAAGAGTATGTAATGAAGGGCAAGGCACAGGAAGAAAGAAGTCTAACCCTTTCATTTCAATCTAGTACTGATGATCTTACCTAGTTTGAGTAATGAAACAACTGCAAGGAAACCACCAAGCTCACCAATTATTGCTCATTTGGACCCTGACCCACAAATACACTTTATTGGTACCTTTCATTTCCAACCAATTTCAATTAATTTTAATAAAACGTATTGGAATGTTGAACTGGATGAAAGCACGGGGGGGGGGGAAGCAAATGCAAGAAAGAAAATCCTAATTGTCCTAGATAAATTGCATTTTAAATAACAATATTTCATCTAAAGCATAGATTCATTTCCAGGAACATTATAAACGTCGTCTTGGAAGAAAAAAAAATGCCCTATTTCCTTCCCTCATTAAAATATTATTTTTAAAATCTTGTTTTCTGGAATGATTACTTTGCAGGAAATTAGAAAGAGTTTAATTAAATTGTCCAGCACATTAAGGTTATCATAGTATGTGCACATTTAGAAATAAGCCCCACTGAGCATTGGATTTATATTCAAATAAATATAAATTGGATAGCACTTGACATATTTCAGAGCTCAGCTTTCTGTTCATTGTAGCATCCAGGTTGATTGCAAAAATATTTCTAAGTCTAAATCATTTAGTTTTGCTAATGGCATGCAAAAAGGATGAAAAAAGTTTCTTCCAAAGTATGTTTAGTATATCTATTTAATATAGAAGGTGTGTGTGTTTGTGTGTGTGTGTGTGTATGTGTATATATGAATTCACACACACACACACCAAGGGAGGGAAGGAGAGAGAGAGGAAGGAAGGGGGGGAGAGAGAGAATTAATTTATCTCCTGTATTTGTTTCAAAATGTTTGCTTTAAAACCTCACTTCATTAATGGTTCATACAGAAATCACTAGCTAATTTGTGACTCTAATGACAAGGGAGATGGACAAGAAATAATAGCAAGAATGTTGAAAATTACGACCACATAAATGCAAGCCAGCTGTCTGACCTCATGGAAACCCATTTTTTTTTAAGAAGGAAAATTATGACATGGGAATGCCCACTTCATGTTACCACTGATTTGTCTATAATTTGATTTAAACACGAACTTTGATGTTGCATCAAATTTTATATTAAACAAAATTATCATGTAAATGAAGGACAGAAGAAAAAACACAAGGAGAGTTGAAAAAGGGAAGTTGTCCAGTGTTTTAAATTTAATCATGTGCATTATATCTCAGTCTCTTTATAGATTTCAAATGTAGCTGAATTTTATGTGTTTGTTTGTTTGTTTTACAGTGTTTACACTTTCGGATCTTTGTGAGCAGTTTTCACCTCCAGAAATTGCACCACCTCTTCTTGTGAAATTAGTGGAAGCTATTGAAAGAAAAGGTATGAATAGGTAGAATATAAATGTTAATAAATTGATATAATAACCTATATGCTACTAAAACACATTTTTCTCTTTCACTGGATGAAACAGTGCATTTTAGCGCAACAATTTTTGAATTGTGGTATCTAAACTGTGCTAACTTGCAGAATGTGTCCAAAATCTAGAGTCTATGATTTCTGTGGAATTAAATGCAGCTAGTGAGTTTATTAGCATATTTAACAAAGTTTACCTAAAATAGCTAGAAACGGACATAAAATTGAAGACAATGTACTTTGCTTAATTGAAGCAAATTATTTTGTATGTAAGGTTTGACAAAAAAATCTCTTTTATAAAGTTAATTTAAGTTTCCTCACATACTTTGATTTTCTTAAGAATGGCGCAAACAAGCAAAATGCGTAACAGAGAAGTAGTTCCTATGCCAAGGAATTATTCTTACTCTCCCTCCCTCCTAATTCTATCGTATCTTCAAAACAATGTTGTCTTCTGGTGATTATCTGGACTAATTTTCTTGGCAAGGTTTTTCAAAAGTGGTTTGCCATTGCTTCCTTCCTAGGGCTGAGGGAGAAGAACTGGCTCCTTCATGTCTAAGGCAGGATTTTAAAACTATGGTCTCTCAGTTTCTAGCCTTAACCACTCTACCAGACTGTTTCCTTTCCATCAAACTGTTTCACTTTATCTCTTCTTACCTAAATTTAAAACTTATTTTGCTAAGTTTTTCAATTGATACTGAAGTTTTTAAAAAAAACTTCCACTATTGGTGATAGTGTAAAGAGCGTAAGGGAGTTGGCTGAAATTGTGCTTGCTGCCCACAACTTCTCTTGCGTGGGCCAAGTGTTAAATAGAAACAACCTCAAATACTTCCTTTGATAACAAAATAGCAATTGCGCTACCTTCAACACATACAACACACGCCTGACTTTGTTTTACACTGAACAAGGTATTCACTCCAACTTGCCCTAGGTTTTCTCCATTTCCAAATGTAACAAATGTACAGATACATTTTTTGCAGTCGGTTTCTGAAAAACAAAAGACAAAAAACTGCCATTAGTTATATTCAAAACAACTCTTATAAACTAAAATTAGGCTTTCCAGCTTCTAAGATCAGAGTCTCCCAGGTTTTCCAAACAAATACTCAACCAAAGATGGCAGCTTTTCTGAACAAGCAAATGAATGTTCAGAGGCATTCTGTTACGCATCAGTTGAAATATTAGTGCAGGTAGTTCTCTGGCTGTTAAGTGCTGCAGTCATTAAGTGAGGCATCACAGGACACTAGCAATGCTATTTCTGCATTCTCCATTGAGACTGCTTATCAGGCTCCAGCTGTGTAGAGCACAGTAATGGAAATCATGTGACACCAGAGTGGTGTGACCATTGTAAATGGGAGGGGGGTTATACCATCATAACTTTGAGTGGTCACAAAATGAAGCTGTTGATAAAGAGGATTACAAGTACTGCTGTAGTTACAAAATTATGAATGAAGGATAATTGGGGCAGAAAAAATGTCACTGAAAGAACAGTTGATAATTTTAAATAATGAGATTGCTGCCTAATGCAAAATTTGATTTGATTTGATTTCCTGAATCTGAGCTCCTCAGAAACTACTATAAAAAATACTTTATGCAGTCCTCAGTTCCCTTTGCCTTGCAACATTGGATACTTGCAGTTCTACTTTTATCTATTGCATTTATTCCTTATCCATTATTTGGGAGCTCAAGGCAGCGTTCTTATTATTTCCATTTTTGACCATAGAAACTAGTCAGGGTATATGGTGCTAGGAGTGATTGGCTCAAAATTGGCCTTCATTCATGTCACAGCAACTAAAGAGTCCTACATTATCTAGGTCCGTGGTGGCGAACCCATGGCACACGTGCCAAAGGTGGCACACAAAGCCCTCTCTGTGGGCACGTGCGCCATCGCCAGCTGCTCATCTCATTTCCGGCACACAGCTGACGTTCACAGGTGCTGGAGTGCTGGAAAACAGCCCAAAAATGGCCTGAAAATGCCCAAAAAACAGGCATACACACGCTGGCCAACACACATGCCTGAATGATCTGGTTTGGGCACTCCATGCCGAAAAGGTTTGCCATCACTGGCCTAGGTTAAAGGTTCCCAGCCCTTCTGGGTTCACGGACCTGTAATAGCAGCGGTGGAGGGGAAGGGATAATTCTGTATGTAACCTACACATATGCAAATGAAGCTCACCCGCCACAGACTGATACTTGGCCATGGACCAGGAACTGGGGACCCCTGACATACGAGATCAGATTCTTCTCTTTCATTATTATGTTGCTATAAATAGTTCTCTAAAAATTAAAATAAGCTACAGGAGACCCTAAATAAAATCAAGACCTATTGCAATAGAAAATACCTTACCTTTCCCTTCTAACTGAAGTAGTGTAGAGTATTATTGTAATGGCTAGAACCTTCAAGTTGTAACTTGCAGTAAGATCCTCAGCACTCCTTTTAGGAACTCATAAACTTTAAAGGTTTGGTTCGGGTTTGTTGTTGTTTTTTAGTTGTGATATTTGATTTGGCCTTTCTTAGGTTAGGGATTTGGGGTATAAAATTAGATTAATAATGTTACACAATTCAAGAGTTTGCAATACTGTTTCCGCACAGGAGTGATAGAAAATAGATTCATACAAGAACATGGAGGAAATGTAAACAACTGAAAGTTACATTACAGAAAATTTTCACAAACTTAATACATTTTTTTCCTTTCTTTTTTTAAGGTCTGGAATGTTTGTCATTGTATAGATCCCAAGGGTCAAGCAGCAATGTTGAATTAAGACAGATTATTGAGTGTGGTAAGCACAACTATTTTCAAAAATCAAACTGGGAAATATTTGCTATCTGTGTAATTTGCCTTTCAGACAGCAATGCCATTTATTACATTTAAATTTCATTATATGAGATATATCAAATACTGTGGCAGAAATCGTATTTGGAATAGTGGTAGAGGGAAACCTCAATAAATGGGCTAAGGAAGGGGGAAGGGGTGCTTGTTATTAATGACATTCCAGTAAATTGAAAAGTAGATCATAAGAGACCCAAACATAGAATCTTTGAAAATACTATTATCCTTAGCAATAAGTTATAGTTTCCCTCTGTCATATGTATATGAGGAACTCAGTCACAGTAAAAACACGTTATCATTGCAAAAGTCTCTGCAAGCAAGGTTCAAGAGATACCACTGGTGGATTGCAGGCAATACACCCCGGTACAGGCGTACTGGTCCTTGCCTGGAACACCGGGTACCGTTCCGGTACGGTGCTCTGGAGGGACCACCTGCCTGCCCGAGCTCCTTACCTGTATTTGAGCTCTTCGGCACATAGAGCGCATGGTGCCTGTGCAACACTCTGCCGAGCAGCTGTAGCATCGCAGAGGCATCACAAAAAGTAAGGAGCATGTGTGCGTGCTCTGCGCATGTTCATGTACTGGACGTCGGGTCCCCTTGCAACCGTAACGGTTGCAACGGTATCTGGAATCCACCAGTGCGACATATCCAAAAGTACCCACAATCACCTACTGTACAGGGAGTGCTCAACAACTACAATTGGGACCAAAATTTACATCCTAAGCTGTGGCAATCGTAAGTCAATTTGGACCCTGTTATATGACAATTTCTGTTAAGCGAATCCAGCTAATCCTAGGTGGTGACGCAGTGGTTAAATGCAGCACTGCAAGCTAATTCAGCTGACTGCAGTTCTGCAGTTCGGCTGTTCAAATCTCACCGACTCAGGGTTGACTCAGCCTTCCATCCTTCCGAGGTGGGTAAAATGAGACCTGGATTGTTGTTGGGGACAATATGCTGACTCTGTAAACCGCTTAGAGAGGGCTGAAAGCCCTATGAAGCGGTATATAAGTCTAACTGCTATTGCTATTGCTATGGCTGTTTTTTGCTAAAAATCAGCAAAAACACAATCACATAGCTGCAGGGCATTGCAACTGATCATAAATGTGAGTTGCTTATCAAACACCTGAATTGCAATCATGTGGCTGCGGGATGGTTTGGAATGATGGTCATAAGTGGGGGTCCCTTTTGATACAGTTGTAACTTCTATTGATCATTAAGCAAATGATATAAGTTGAGGACTACCTGTAGCAGCGTTTTCCAGAATTTATTGAATGGGGATAGGAAAAAAAATACTGCAAAAAGTGTTATTTACACAGGATTCCCCTCCTAGAAAGAATTCTCGTGAGAGTTAAATGCAGATATTATTCCACACTGCTTGTTGTGGGGAGAGCAAAGGAATGTGCATCACAATACACCATTTTGTACTTTTCTGTCATGAGACATTTATCCAACCTTTGGATAAAATGTCAGGTTGCTGTAGATCAGAAATGGGAAATTAATTTTCCCAAGGGGCCACATGAGAAACGGTGATTGATATGGAGGACCTCTATCCTTGCACCCTGCCGACAGGGACAGCCGAAGGGACAGATGTGTCCCATGGGCCATAAAATGAGCCGCAGTGGTTAGAGTGCAGTACTGCAGGCTACTTCTGCTGACTGCCGGCTGCCTGCAATTTGGCAGTTAAAATCTCACCAGGCTCAAGGTTGACTGAGCCTTCCATCCTTCAGAGGTGAGTAAAATGAGGACCCAAATTGTTGGGAACAATATGCTGACTCTGTAAATCACTTAGAGTGGGCTTTAAACCACTGTGAAGTGGTATATAAGTCTAAGTGCTGCTGCTAAAATGCCCAGGTCTCATCATTCGTTTCAATATACTTCGCTGAGTGACGTATAGCTCTTGGCAAAATGTAGTGCATAACATGTTTGTGTGTCTGTGTTTTTTTAGAGGTTTCTTCAGTGGATTTTGAGGGAATTGAACTTCACATTTTAACAGATGCATTGAAGAGGTACTTTCTCGACTTGCCAAATCCTGTCATTCCAGCATCTGTTTACAATGAAATGATTTCTGTAGCACAAGGTATGTTTATAAATGTTTATTTTGGTAGAGTAGGGGGTTGGAGAATCCTTATTTTTACAGGGCATGCTCATGATGCAATGCTACAGTTCATGCCATTGTGTCAGACATGGCATCTACATGTCGACATCATTGTGTGATTATTATTTTGGTCTGTTGTAGGATGCTGCTGCTGAGTTTTGTTTCTTTTTCCAAAGTAATAATGTAAAAGGACATTATTATAGCTTCTTCCATTACATGATATACATAAATTGGGATTATCTGCAGTTAATCTTGTTCCCTGGCATGCATACCTGTAAGACACACATGATTGAAAGTGTCTGCGTACATTTTAAAAACCTAATGTACAAAATAGATCTTGGTGTTAAGAACTCCATGTAACTTGGCGAGTATACTATTTGTTCAAATACTGGTTAACCAATCAAGGATTCGTATGTAGAAAAAGCTAATTGTTAACCTTTTATCTGTATGCACAAGGTAAATGTATTAGCTAGACATGATTCTGAAGTCCATTTGCAATTTGGGATGCAGTGCAATAAAGACTTAGCGATAAGGTTTGTCTCTTCATTATGAATTCAGACTGTGTATTTCACCTTTTCAGTTTTCAAATTCAGTTGCTCGTTATGGGGACAGGATACAACTTTCAAAGTTAGAATTGCTTTTTTGAGTCTTATCAGCTACATCTCAGAAATTACCCAGTCACATGAGGCAAAGGGGAGATTTCTGCCGGCATTAACTGAATGTTTAGTGGTTTTCATCTAATTATATTTCAGTTTCAATTTGACTTTGATATAATTGATTTTTTTCCTATCCACGCTTGCTTAATTTTTCATTGTTGTAAGGAAAAGTGGTTTAGTTTACATTAAAGGGATTGATGTCTTCTTGCAAAATTGATGCTTTTCGGTGGCTGTTTAGAACAATTGCTGGTGATTTCAAGTTGACAAGGATTTTTTTTCCCTCCCAGAAGTACAGAACTCAGAAGAATATGCTCAAGCGTTGAAAAGACTCATCAGATCTCCTAACATACCTCAACAGTATTGGCTCACACTCCAGTATATCCTTAAACATCTCGCTAGACTTTGCCAGATCTCTACCAAAAACCCTTTAAATGCAAAATCTTTGGCTGAAATTTTTAGCCTTTTGCTGTTCAGATCTCCAATAGCCAGGTAAGATACGTGTTCCTGAGTCCTGATCATTACAAATTTTTCTTCAATGACAATCATACATTTTTTTCCTTCCAATTTTTTTTATTTTACTATAGCACAGTCATTTTTCTTGTTATTTTTTTACAGCTCGGACAGTGAACAACATATAAAAATATTGGAAGTGTTAATTACAAGTGAATTGCATGAGAGACAACCTGCACCAGGTAAGAAAACATGTATTTTGGAAACTTTTTGAAGTTGCCGTCTTTGTTTTCTTTTGCATCCAATGACTCCTACATTTGATGAAGTTTACGTCAGATGGGATGCATTTTAAGAATAATATATTTATGTGCAGCGTGATTATTATTTTTTTGCTAACATTGGATGTTCTTTTGCCTATCACTTTTTTATTTGGTACATAGTAAAGATTTCTTTGCTTCTTTGAACAGTTAGGTGTTTGTAATAGTGTGGAGAAGGGAAGTAGCAAGGACTCTACTAAAAGTTGTTTTTCTCAAAATACTAGTAGCAAATGCATCTTGGCACAAGATAGTTCAAAGCTGTAGCATGTAATCCCTCTGTAAGCTATGTGGAGAATAAAAACTGCCCACCAGGTAACTGGGATATGTTGGACTGTGTCCAATGGTAAAGCCATTTCTCATGGTATGTGAAGATTGTGTAGTTCCTGCTAGTCTGGTTTAGATTTATCACGCAAATACAATTTGAGTGTGAATATATCCCAACTTAAAGTCAACAACATGGTCTTTATTAGTTGTTTTACAATAATGTTGCAATGAATATGTGTTTTCTCATGGATGTAGCTTTAAACAAATTGCCATAAATATTTGTTCAGTACTTAAGAACACAACAGTAACTGCTAATAGACTACATATTTGGTGTAGCACAGAGGACTAATGTAAGTTGAATTCAAATAAGTTCTTTGACTTCAACTTCCTAGATAACCATGTAAAAGCTTTAAAGTTTTTGCAATGCCATCGCTGTTGTTCTTGCACAATGGCAAAGAACTTGCTTAAATTAGGGTTAGCAGCTGATATTCTGAGTTGTCTGAATACTAGTCCTTATGTAACTCAAAAATACATAGATGGAAAATCAACATGTTTGGTGAACCCTTCAGTTTATAGAAGTTCAACAATCCTTAAGGGGAAAAACTGTTATATAACCAGGGTGCATGCCCAGAGGTGTAGAAGGGCAGATACATTATGAGGTGCTTCAAATGATTGCATACTGCAGTTTTTTGTCATTGATATCATCAGTTTTACATTTTTGTTGCCGATTAGCCCATTTCAGTAGAAACATTTGTATATGATATAATAGCCACAAATGCAACGCATAGAAAACATACTGAATGAACTTAGCAAAAGATGCCACATTTTACGGCATAAACGTGTCTTTAGCTGATTTACTTGTTTGCAGAATGATTTTCTTAAAAGCAGAACTGAGGTTTGATTGATTTTAGGGACCAGTAGTAATTTGATAATTACAAGTTGTAAATAATATATGTGTGTGTGTGTGTATGCGTGTGTGTGTGTGTATGTATATGTGTATGTGTATATATATATGTGTGCGTGTATATGTGTATATATATAGATAGATAGATTTTAATAGTGGCCAAAAATTTGTAGAGAAATCATAGGGATTATTTTAATTGTATATACGAAGTAAATAAAATCCATTAATTAACTAAACAAAAAATCTTGATTAATTGGGCAACTTGTTTTTATTAATGCTAACAGTATAGATGGTAATAAAATTGAAGATGCCCCATATGGTCCTGATAGGGATTATATCATATGCTGCCATAATAGCAATAGAATTTAGACATATAGTATACAGCTTCACAGTGCTTTACATCCAGTGGTGGGTTCCGGATCCCGTTGCAACCCCTATAGTTGCAATGGGGCCTGGTGTCCTCCACATGAACGCACACGATGCGTGCGGGCACATGCGTAGCACCGCATGCGTCTTATCCAGCTGCTCAGCGGAGCATTCTGCAGGTGCTGTATGCGCCGTGCGGAAGCACCAAAGACTTTAAAGACAGGTAAGGAGCGCAGGCGGGTGGGTGGTCCCTCTGGAGCACCATACCAGAATGGTACCGGTGCTTCGGACCGGGACATGCCACCTGCAACCCACCACTGTTTACATCCCTCTCCAAGCAGTTTACAGAGTCAGCATATTGCCCCCAACAATCTGGGTCCTTATTTGGCCAACTTTGGAAGGCTGGAAAGCTGTGTCAATCTTGGGCCTGTAAAACTAGAACTGCCAAATTGCTGGCAGCTGGCAGACAGCAGAAATACCCTGCAGTTTTGCATTGTAACCACTGCGCCAACATGGCTCAATACTAATATTTTTTCTCAAATCAGACTGTGTTTAGTGAGACCTTAAACTCTGCTTTGTGATGTATTCTTTAAATTATACTTTTCTTCTTCTCTGCAAAGTGTTCTTATTTTGTGGACAGGAAAGTATTTAAAAACAGGTCGAATTATTAGTTTATATAATTAAGTTGTAGTCTACAATTGCCTCAGTTTTCAGACAAAAGTGTTTCTAAACCCTACTGGGCTGGTTAGGTATCCTTCAACATAGGAAAGTTAGAAAGTTAGAATATGAGAAAACACAAATAAAGGAGTTCCATCAAAATAGTGAATACTTTTTTGGCCTGCTTCTAATCTCTGGACGCCAAATTCTTCTTTCTTAAACTATAATGTATCCAATACAGTTTAACTAGTACAGGATTTTTAACTAACTACTGAATATGACCATAAAACCTAGGTGAGAAATCTATGTTAGTACACAGTAAATTAAGAAAGACATACATATGAGTCTTTTAAAAAATACTATGTATAATATATTTTTATGAGAACTTTCGCCAAAAGGAGCAAAAAAAAAAAAAAAAAACCCCTCTCTCCAAAGATTAAGTTGTGCAGACCTTCCTAGAATAAGCTCTTTAGAACCAGTAGCATTTGCTTTGTGTAAGTACACCTGAAATGCCCTATCAGGAACTATAAAAAGTAAAGGTAAAGGTTCCCCTTGCACATATGTGCTAGTTGTTCCCAGCTCTAGGGGCAGTGCTCATCTTCGTTTCAAAGCCGAAGAGCCAACCCTGTCCAAAGACATCTCCATGGTCACAGGGCCAGCATGACTAAACGCCGAAGGCGCACGGAACACTGTTACCTTCCCTATTTTTTTACTTACATTTTTACATGCTTTCGGAACTGCTAGGTTTGCAGAAGCTGGGACAAGTAACGGGAGCTCACTCCGTTACGCAGTGCTAGGGATTCGAACCACTGAACTAACGACCTTTCTGATCGACAAGTTCTGCATCTTAGCCCCTTAGCCATCACGTCCCTGTATTGCAAATACATAGGTGTAAATTGATGCTTGTTCTGTATCAAATTAGCGGTTAGGCACCAGGCAAGAAAGCAGGAAACTCTGAATTCAAGTCTTGCTTTAGCCATGAAAGCCAGCTGAATGACTTAATCATTCACTCCCAGCCCAACTCCCCTCACAGGTTGGTTGTTGTGGGGAAAGTAGGAAGAGGAAGGTTTATGTTTGCTGCCTTGAGTTATTTGTAAAAATAATAAAGGTAGGAAATGAATGAATAAATAACTGAGTGAAGAGAAGATATTATGGTAATTAAATGAAGACATGACATATTTTATAATAGAGAAATATTAAAGACAAATATCAGTATCAACATGAATCATAAGTCATTTGTGCATAGAAGCTAATGTATTCGACATTACATCATTCCAATCCCTTTATTCAACTTGAAGCTAATCAGTATTACAATATGTGTCCAGCAGAGGGCTCTCTTTTTTAGCGAATAATAATAACCAAGTTGCATACCGTTGTAACATAATTCAGTACTAAATTCAGCACTGCACTTTGCATTAGAGGCTTGTTATTCTTTAATATCAATTGTAGATAGAATCACTGAAGCAGCCACAATTGAATGTTAGACCCTGTGTACTCATTCAGTTTCTGCTTGAGAATTCAGTCATCAAATGTCAAAATTCTGCCTTTTACAGCACTTAATAAAAGACGGGGAGGGGGAGGAAGCAGAAGTCACAAGCTAGTTCCTCCATGCAATGCCCTGACTTTACTCTCCTATGTATGCGGAGCCATATAAAAGGGTTGCCTCTAGTAATGGAAGGGCTAGACTGGGGGCACATTAAAGACCACCTCCAATTATAACACTCCTGATAAAATCTATGCATACTGGACAACAAACTCCTCCATGAATAATTAAACATAACATGGAACAATTTCTTATCTTTGGGATGTTGCAATCACTGTTCTTTTATTGCAATTAATTTACAAATATTTAGATTTGGAAGTAGTCACTTCTTTCTTCCTCCCAGCAAAAGTTGGTTGCTAATCAGTTTGTTGGCTGCTAAGTACCATGAAGATGGAGTAATTGTGGATTTCCCACTCCTGATTAAAGTCTTAGCCAAGATTGGAGCTAAATAAATAGTGCTTTTCTGCTATTAAGAGGAAATATAAAATGAGCACCCTAGTTATGTTGTTGCTGCCTTGTGGAAAGTGCCAGAAGGTTATTCAATCCGCGGTTATCCAATTTTTCTTGTCACCAAAAGTAAAAAATGCAAAATGTGTGAAAAAATAATGTTTATGGAGAATTTGTGTCTGTCCAGTATAACTCATTTACTGCTGGAGAATGGTAGACTATGGTATATGTAGGGCAGGGTTCTTCCAAGTATTGCACAGCATAGTGTTACAAAAGATGTTAAATACAGTTATAGATTGTAGTTGAAGTTTAAAAAGCAAATGACATTAAAAAGCTCACTCTTAAGGCTTGATAATTTTTTTATGTAGGAAATAAACATGGTTGTCCAAATTGTTCTATTTCTACTGGTGGGCTTCATTGGGAGCCGAGAAGCAAAAAGAAAACCAAATGATAATTAGGTCTATAAGCTAGCAGTCATGTTAGAATCCAAATCAGTTTGGCTGAAGGGCAGGAACTCAATGTCCATACCTACAATAACCAATCTATTTTTGGGGGAAATCCAAAGGAGAATTACTACCAGAGAAATAGTCAAAGAAATGACTGAAGTTTGGTAAATGGGTCCCTTGTCAATCAATAAGAGTGCTGATTTGTGACCAGCCAATCTGGTACCTAGGAATTGAGGGTATGGCAGTATAAGGAAACAAAAATCAATGACTTGGTAGCTGGCTATTAGCAACTAAAATT